ATAAAGCAAGACAAAAAAGAGAAAGAAATCAAAGAGAAATCTAAAAGTACAAGAAAAGGGGAAAAAGAAAATAAAGAAAAAAAAAGATACAAAGAAGTGGCTTCCGATCTTCTTTACAGCAGTTTTAAGTACTATTATAAATTTACCTCTTACTCTATGGTTACAACATAACTTCCCTTTTTCTATAATCTATCCTGTCTAATCATCAAAACCATAAATCACAAGTTCATTTTTTTCTGTTTCATACAAAAAGTCCATAAGGGGTTTCCAGTCAGCAATAAACACAGATACTGTCTTTTTTCTGATCAAAGAAGTCAATTTAACCATCTCAGCAAGTTCCATCATCTTCACCAACCGTTCCTCCACTGTAGGTAATGCCGAGACTTTCCACCTTTGTGCATACGATAATCTCGCTGTAGTTATCATATACAAAAATGAAGTTCCATGACTTTTTTCCTCAACTGTTTATCCATCAACCCCAAAAGAAAAGCCTCTGGTCTCAACTGTATATTAATATTTAAAATCCTTTGAATCAGTGTGTGTGTTTGAATCCAAAATTTTCTAGCTTTTTTATATGCCCAACTCTGACTGAATGAACAACTTTAATCTGCCAAATAGCAAGAGTATTCCTTACTATGGCCCAACAGGTAGCCCTGTGATCCATCCCTCCATAGCAGGGAGAGGATCATCTTAAAAAAGGGCTGCCAGGCAACTATTGGTAGACACAATAAGGGGAAAAATAATAATATGGTTTTTCCGCCCTTATCACCATGACTTAAGCCCTAATATGGGTTCTTATCTATGTTCAATTAGATTCACTCTTAATATTCTACTAAGAAATCTAGTAGCATTCTAGGAGTTTTGTCTTGTATTTCATCTCCTGGAGCTCACCTCAGAAAACAAAGGCACACCCCAGGATCCATGCGAGAGGCTGTACAGGGACAATATGGTCTAAGCCCTCTGCCACTCACTTATTCCAGTTGCAACCAAGGCCTCAGGTAGAATGCCCACTAGATCTTCAGGGAAATTCCCAAGCTCCCTCTGAAACCCAGCCATGTCTTTCAGGCACCTGCAGCAGACTGATTCAACAGCCATCTCTCCCCTGCCACCCGAAAAGCAACCAGTGAGTGATCTGACCATGGCAACAGACTAATAACAATGTCCTCTAAAACCAGATCAGATGCAACTGCCCTGAGACAAAAACCAGGTATGTGGTTGCCATAGAGGCCACAAACTTCTGAGCTGCCCCAGGCTCAGGCTGGCAAATTGTAAACCCTGAGTACCACCAGCCCCAACTTCTCTATTGCCAACCCAGCAATGGAATCCAGCAGCTCTTACCCACAGTTAAGTTGTGGATGAGGACAGATTTATTGCAGACTGATCTGGAGTTCAGCAGCAACAGCAGTAGCAGCAGCAGCAGCCGCCGCCGAGTCCAGGGCCACTGAGGATCCAATAAACTGGGAGCGGGAATGTATACTCTGAAGGTGGATCAACATATTCAGGTGGTGATGGGTATGGAATGCTTTGATGGGAGACAGAGGCTGGGCCATCCTGGCGAAGATGTCTCCAGTGTCTTGTACTGGTGTCGTGTTCTGGCTCTCTGGACTCAGGCCCAGGCCCTGGTCAGCAGACCTACAGAGACTCGGGCTTTTGGCTGCTGCTGATTAATGCCAGCTCAATTAATAATAAAGCTCCCCTCATTTGTGATTTTATTAAGGAGGACCAGGCCAACCTGGCATGTATTACCAAGACCTAGCTGGAGCCGGAAGGCGGGGGTGGGGAGTTTCTCCTTTCTGAAATGTGCTCGGCTGAGTTTAGGATATGGCACCAACTCAGACCCCAGGACATTGGAAGGGGTGTAGCAGTAGTCATCTGGGAATCTCTGTTGGCCTTCAGGGACTCTGCTCCCCAAGTTGCCAGTTGTGAGACCCTGTTTTTGAAGATAGGCTCACTGGATCAGTCAGGACTGTTGCTACTGTACCAGCCTCCCTGCTGTATAGCAACCTTCCTACCTGAGCTGCTGGAAGCCATCTCAGAATTGGCTCTGGAGTTTCCCAGGCTCATGGTCTTGGGAAACTTCAACTTGCAGTCCCTTGGGCTGGCCTCGGAAGCAGCTTGGGAGTTCACAGCCACCATGGCGGCCATGGGCCTATTCCAGGTCATTCATGGGCTGACTCAAAACAGTGACCACACATTGGACATGGTTTTCTTCTCAGAGCAGTGGCAATATGATCTGAGGGGGGAGCTATCTTTGTCCCCACTGTCATGGTCAGATCACACCCTGGTGACCTTGAAATTGTCTTATGCTGCCCCCCTCCGCAGGGAGGCAGGAACTATTCAACTGGATAGGATATGGAACTGAAATGGCATCGGTCGCGCTTTTAGATGATCTCTGACGGGAGTGGGATGTGGGTAGCGCATCCATCCTGGCTCTTCTTGACCTCTCAGCAGCTTTTGATACCATCGACCATGGTATCTTTTTGGTTCAGCTGTGGGAATTGGGGGTGGGTGGCATGGTTTTGTGCTGGTTCACCTCCTTCCTCCAAGACCAGTCCCAATCGGTGTTGATAGGGTCTAAGAGTGGGGTTCCGCAGGGCTTGGCACTCTCTCAACTCCTTTTTAACATCTATACAAAGCCGCTGGAGGTCATCCGTCACCACTGGATAAGGTATCATCAGTATGCTGATGATACTTAATTATACATCTTCGTCCCTGGTGAACTGAGTGATGCTATGGATGTTCTTTTGCAGTGGCTGGAGGCTGTGGGGGTCTGGATGGGGAACAACAGGCTTCAACTGAACCCTGGTAAGACGGAATAGCTGTGGGTGCAGAGCTCTCCTGCATCTGGGGGCTTACCATCTTTGGTCCTGGATGGGGTGGCATTGCCCCTGATGGAGCCAGTGCAATCTGGGGTTCCTCCTGGACTCATGACTCCTGATCAAGGAGCAGGTAGCAATTGTGGCTAGGAGGGCCTTGCTCAATTCTGTGTTATGTGCCAGGTGCGCCCTCTCTTGGATTGGGAGGACTTTCTTTCAGTCATTCATGCCTTGTTTATCTCCCATATGGACCATTACAATGCACTCTACACGGGGCTATCCTTGAAAAGTATTTGGAAGCTGCAGCTGGTGCAGAATGTGGCAGCGCGGGCAGTTATGGGTGCCCTCAGAACTGCACATGTAATACCTATGCTGCGCAAGCTGCACTGGGTGCCAGTTTGCTTCCAGATCCAATTGGTCATCATCTTTAAAGACCTTCATGGCATGGGCCCAGGTTACCCGAGGAACCGTCTCATCCAATTATATCAATCTGTCCAATCCGGTCTGGCAGACAGAGCATGCTACGGACTCTGTTGGCCAAAGAATTTTGACTGGTGGGGTCTAGGAGGAGAGCCTTTTCTGCCATTGCTCCTGCCCTCTGGAACATCTTGCCCCCTGAGGTGAGATTATGGGCCTTCCAGAAGGGTGTTAAGACCTGGCCCTGCCAACTTGCATGGGGACCCATTGGGGGTTTGCAGCACTGGGGGTGGTTCATAGGTTGAGGATGCTCTCTCTGCCTTTTTACCTTTTTTTAGCTTTGTATGTGTTTGTAAAGTTTTTATAGTTCTTTTATTTGTAAGCCACCTAGAGTCACTTATATAGTGAGATGGAAAGGCATATAAATTTAATAAATAAATTTAATAAACAAACAAACAAATAAACCATCAGGATCACTCTCAACCAGTGAGTCCAATGTCCCCAAGTATGGCTTGCCCCCGGGATCTTGCCATATTTCCCCTGCCCATCAGAGTTTCAATGCTCCTGCCTACTCCGTCTCCTCCCCCTATTTCCCTCTCACCTCTTGCATCTTCCTTCCAGGTCAAGGCATCCACTTACCCATACACATACCATCAAACATCTATTACAGCCATTCATTTACCACATGCAGCCACATGCATCCCTTACAGCAAGGCCATCCTAAGGACCACTACAAGGACTCTGGGAGGGCAGTGGAAATCTTCCAGTGCCCAGAAGCACCTCACAGCCCGGGACCACCTGCCCTACTCCAAATCTTTTCAGGTCCTCTTCAGAACACTACCCCAGATCTCCCTCCTCCAGGCCAAAGCACTCCAGGGAATCGAAGCACCAACAGTCCTGGATCACATCAAATATTCCACTTTAGTACCAGGGAGTCGGGGGCAATGAGATATGAGCCAATTTCATGTCATCCCAGCAGCAAGACTGGATTGCCAGCAGTCTCACTAACCCCACCATATTATTATGCTAATAATGCATATTTAAATATACAGATGAAAACATTACCAGTGTGAATTTAAGAAGTGACTTAAATCCTAGAAATTAATCAAATTTCTGCTTTTCATTTCTCAGTCCTTTTGGAAAGAGTTATTGCAGAAACATAAACAGAACTAGTGTTTGAAAATCCAACAACATTAGAGTATTGTTCTGGATACCTCAGCTACTTAAAAAGTGCTGTAGGTTATAAAGTAAAAAAGCACTAAATATGTAAATTCAAATTTCCTCCCTTTTTTCTTTATGACATCTCATATAATTCTCTTGATCACATGCATAATCACATATAAAGATAACTGCTTCTAGACTGCACAGAAGAGAAAGGAAGAGAGAAACCATTTTTTCTTATTTGTCTCTCCCTCTCTTTCCTTCTTCCTCCCTCTTTCATACCGAAAACTCTTATTCTATCTGGATATTTTGGTATACTCACTGTCAGTTAGATCCCATAGCCGTGGGGGAAGATCACTGAAGTACTCATGGCTCAGAGCTGCTTGTGCCGACAATCTGTTTTTTGGGAAACACTGGAGTAATTTGGAAGCCAGGTCCTCTGCATGATCCACATAGCTTAACCTATAATAAAGGCAGATAAAAATTAGAGAGGCAACAAGTATACATACCTACATATTCACAAATATACTCTGTGATGCTATATAATGCTGAGATCAAGAAAAGGAGAAGTATTTACTTAAGCCCATATATATGACCATATTTTACCACTGTAATTGATATGGATTGTTCATTTAATTACTACTGGCAACATACTGACATTTTCTAATTGATAAGACAGTCTAACGTTGATGACTGTACTCCCTTTTTCAGATATGTCTGCTTACTTCAGGCATAATTCTGCAGAGATGTTGCCATGGTGGCTCCCTGTTCTTTCAGATGAGCTAGAAACTCTTCACCTCTGTGCTCCAGTTACTGCACAGATAGTATCTCTTTCAACTTTTATCATTCCAATATCTCATCTTAAGCATGACTGCTGAAGAACAGCATCTTACTTGCTGTATTTTCTGACGAATTAGTATTAAAATATATAGAGAGAGATCTTAATCTTTTGACATCCCCATTCAAATTCTATGATAATCTATCCCCAATGTATAATACTTCAAAAAATAGTACTAGCCGGTCATTCTGTTTGCTCTAGATTTCTGCTAAATTAAGGAAAGCCTACAGATTTGAGACCAACAATGAAATGATGGAAGTTCACTCTTTGAATTCAATGTCATTTGTGCTAAGACTATATTAATCTTTCTAGATTCCTTCTAAATTCTTAAGCGTTGCTTAATTCATGAGAACTGTTTTTGATCAAAAGCTTGCTATTACTTTACAATGGTGTTTTGATGTTAGGTTGGATCTTGAATTTACAAACAAAAAAGAAAAAACGCACAGCAGTGACAAAGTATGTGCAGCTACATTCAAGAAAGGTGTGAATGGAGAGAGAGACCCACACTCTTCTTAGTCATTTGCGTAATAAACCATCTCTAATAAGCCTTATTAAATCAATGATAATTTAAAAGTACATTTCAGGATGCTCCTAAGGTGTTTCAAACTAAACTCTGATAAGCTTTAGGAAACATGACCAATTGTAAAACATTATAAGAACTGTAGTACAAAACTTCTGGAAGACGATGATAAACCTAGTTTATAATCCATATTAAATTAGCTGCATTTTATTCCACTGAAATCAGTGAGACTAAACACTAACGTTTTTACTTTGATTACAATAGAATGTAGAAAAAACTTACCGCACAATTCTAAAAATTATTATTCAGAAATAAATTTCACTGATTTCAATGAGACTTTTCCTAGATAATTAAGTATAGGGTTACAACTATCATGTAGAAAGAATTCTTTGCTTGCTCAAATACCAAACCATTCCCCTGCGCCCATCAATAGACTGATCTGGGTACTAGCAACACATGATACAGGATATCTGGGTCTGTCATGCACCAGATTTTTAGTCACTCCAGATGCCATAAAGAAGTCTGAGAAACTGTCACTGTGTCTCCATTTGTTGCCTTTGGTTTTTTGCTCACCAGCTAGGATAACCAAAAAAAAAAAGGCCAGTGGTTGTGCAATTGGCAATAGGGGAAGTCTTGCTATCCCTTTTTTAACCCCTGTGATTTTTTTTGTGGGGGGGGGGGTAAGGTGAAAGAAGCTGCATTTATCCCTTATAGACAATCTTCTATAATGTCTTCACAATCTCAGAGGTGAAAAGAGATAACTAACTCCAGTAAATAGTTTATGTGGCACAGGGGAATTAGGTTAGCCCCATACAAGACCAGAGGTATTTGGATTAATTCTAACCCTCCTGGGTCTTCATTTGTCCAGGTTATATAGTTTGTACAATATGCTTATCCCCTCTCTCATAGCCTGATAACAGGGTCTTTGAATCCATTGTAACTATTGCAGAGAACATATGTACATTTTTTCCTCTATTTTCTACTGCATTTTCTGTTCACAATGCAGATCCAAGCCAAAGTGTACTTTCTGGAGCTCATTTTTGCAAGAAGATGTATTGCATGTATTCAAGTAATGGGAATTGTTACATTGAGTGTTTCCTGACATTTACAAGAAAGCACTTCAGAGTGAAGGGCACTAGTAAAATGTCAGTACATAAAATTCTCACAAAGGCACAGTTGGTAGGCTCTGGGAGAAAAAAATATATTCAAATGTCTATGTATACTATATTATGAAATAATGATAATCTAATCTAAAGTAACTTGGTGAAGCTGCCATTGTATGGTTTAGGTAAGCCAAATCCAGTCAAATTCAGCTGTATGACTTTAAGCATCAAGATTAAACTGCTTCCAAATAAAAAGAGATTAATATTCAATAATAATTTATTGTGGAAATAATTACTTAAAAATTAAGTATTAAATTTATCACCTCCAGTTTGTTGTATGAAAGCAAAGAATAAAATTTGGATAAAACAAAATGTAACCGAAACTGAAATAGAAATGTCTTTATTACGGTCTTTGACCAGTATGATGATACCCAGCTATACATTTCTACCCTGGTGAAGTAAGCAATGCTGCCAACATCCTGCTCCAGTGTCTGGAGGCTGTAGGGGTTTGGATGGGGAACAACAGGCTTTGGCTCAACCCTGGCAAGACTGAGTGGCTTTGGGTTTTGAGGCCACCTCGATCTAGGAATTTACCATCTTTGGTCCTGGATGGGGTTGCACTTCCTCAGACAGACTTGGCGTGCAGTCTGGGGGATCCTTCTAGACTCATGACTTCTGCTCGAAGATCAGGTGGCAGCTGTGGCTGGGAGGGCCTTTGTACAGCTTTGTTGTGCACCAGTTGCACCCATTCCTGGATCAGGAGGCTCTATGCTCAGTCACTCACACCCTGGTCACCGCCCATATGGATTACTGTAATGGTCTCTATGAGGCTGCCCTTGAAGAGTATTCGTAAGCTTACATTGGTGGACACTGCAGCAGTGCAGGCAGTTATGTGTGCATCTAGATCTGCAAACATTACACCTAAACTCCATGAGCTAGACTGGTTACCAATTTGCTTCTGGGTCCAATTCAAGGTGCTGGTAATAACCTATAAAGCCCTACATGACCTGCAGCCGGGATATTTGAGGGAACGCCTCTTCCCATTGACATCTACCTGTCCCATCAGGTCCAGCAGAAGAGGCTTGTTGCAGGTTCTGTCCACTAGACAATGTAATTTTCTGCTGCTGCACCTGCCCTATTATTCCCCCTGAGGTCAGGCTGGCCCTGATCTTGATGGCCTTTTGGAAGGGCCTAAAGACCTGGGTTTACCATCTGGCCTGGGGATTAGAGAGTGGTGTGGAGCCATAAAATGGCTGTACTGTTCTTGAATGTCTGTGCTCTCCCAGTGACTGTACTGTATGGCATTTAATTGTTTTTAATGTTTGTACTGTTTGAACGGCTGTTTTATTTTTTTATTTTTATTTTTTGGTACTATTTATGTTTTAATTGTAAGCTGCCCAGAATGTGAGATGGGTGGCTATATAGATTTAAATAAATAAATAAATAAATAAATAATAAATAAATAAATAAATAAATAAATATTACAAATCTGAAAAAGTAGATTGCTACCAAAAATCCATTTCTAAAAAATTTGTCATAAAACAATAAAACAACCTATCTAAGCCCAGGCTAAACAAGAAGATGCCATATGTATACTAAGGTAAGGTCAATTTTCCTGACTTTTGATCTAATCTATAAATAGTTTAATAATTTGTGTTTTATTTCCAGAAAATCTTTGAATCTGGAAGTTTCAAATCTCTGTAGAATTAATGCTTGAAAAACAAATCAACAAGTGGCTATGAGGGCATTGGACGTACATAAAAAGCAAGTGGGGCTTTAATAACACTGACATGGACATTATCCTGATTTTTTTGAACCCTTGCCCCAGAATTTAATTTATTCTGATTTTTACAAGTATTTTAGAAGAAAAACTCCAATAGATTGAAAGTTATATATAAAACAGTCATAAGATAAAGATCAATCAGAATCACACAATACAGAATTAATTCCATATAAGAAAGTATGAATTGAAAGATTGAAATGAGTAAAACCTAACAGAGAGTGCTATAGTATGTTCACAGGCCTTTATTCAAACCAAATTGAAATGTAAAGGTTGGTTCAGCAAAAATTACTTAGCAGATTTAATTAATTAATTATTGCTTAGAACAATGAATAAGAATGCATTTATATAATATGAATTAGCATGCTATGCGACTAAACATAGGATCTTCATTTAGTTTTTGTACTAACTTTCAAAGCATTTATTTCCATCAAATTAGTTCTGCACTTTTCTGCTCTTAATTGTTCCTTGTTCTGTTGGACTACATTCTAAATATTTTTTCCATATACATGTGATACAGTATCTTTCTCCCATCTTCAATTTTTGCACATTCTTTTCTATACATTTTTCTCATATAGTTCCTTTCACTTCATCATGCGTGGGGGTGCGCAGAGGTGCGTAAGGCATGGTGTAGGTCAGGTGCTTGAGGGGGTGCAAGAGTTGGGGAGGGTGAGTGAGGGGGTACTTGAGAGGTGCAGCATAGGTCAGGAAGGGTCCGTGAGGGTGCACAAGAGGCATGGTACAGATTCGGGAGGGTGTGAAGGGGTACGTGAGAGGCACAGCGCAGGTTGGGTGCATGAAAGGTGCACTGCAGGTCAGGGAGGGTGCATGAGGGTGCAATGGGATGTGTGAAAGGTGCCGGTCAGGGAGGGTGTGCGAGAGGCATGGTGTGGGTTGGGGATGTGTGAAGGTGCGGCATGGGTCAGGAAGGGTGCGTGATGTGTGGCATGGGTCGGGGAGGGTGCATGACAGCACTAGGGAGGCATGATGTAGGTTGGGGAGGGTATGCAAGGGCTGGGGAGGATGTGCGAGGGTGTGATGCAGGTCAGAGAGGGTGTGGTGCATGTCGGGAAGGGTGCGATGCAAGTTGGGGGGCACAGCACAAGTGCAGAGAGGGTGGGGAGAGTGTGCAGGTGGGTGTGTGACTTGTGACTTTCCCTGCTGGTATCCCCATTGATTTTCTGGTGAAGCCAGCAGGGAAGGTTGCAAATGGCAATCAAG